TGGCGGTTTCATTGCACACAGCACATTCCTCCTCGCCTTCTTAAAGACCAGCGTGAATGAAACTTCTGGGACCCCTCTCTACCCCAGAGTGCCTACTGTGGATGCCACTGTTTTGTGCTCATCATTGACTGCACTGTTTTGCCTTCTCCTACATTTTGTCCACCCCACAGGACAACTATAGATGAGGAGAAGGCACAGAGCTGCTTTATGGATCCCAGACCCCATTCTTTAAGCCTCTGGAGCTGACAATGCCAGGCCAAGCCCTCCATCTCCTTTGGCCAGCGCATCTTTGTCCTTACTGCCTGCCACACTCCTTTCACACATTTGGTCTCAGCCCCGCGCTGGCCTTCCTGCCTCCTGGTCAAGCCCTGCCTGTTCCAACTCCTGTCCATGCCATGTGCATGTGTGCACAAACCCTGTCCTCTGGTCACTGTGCCTGGGGGAGAAGTCACTTGACCTCTCTCCTCTCCTTGGAATATTAACTGTAGAACAACAAATCCATGACCATAATCCCCAGACCAAAATTAGAACCCAGACTTCCGGCCATTTAACCATGGGCAGGCTGTGGGTAGATATTGTTCCCAGCATTAGATTCTGATTCTCTCTCTAGCCCGTAAGACGCAGGAGGCTTGCAGAGCTCACATCCAGAACCAGGGACCCTTGATGTTTAGAAGCACTCCTATGCAGGAAGTGACTTCTAGATAAGCCTGCTTTCTACCAAAGTATTTACACAGTAATAATTCTACTTTCTGAAGGCCACGAGGACCTACTTTTCAAGGGAGTATTTATGGCGGTGGCTTGGAGGGCTGAAATGTCCTACAAGTCTTCTGTCCTGCTTTCAAGAAGATTTGGTAGGCCTCCCTTGCAAATCCTGCCCATTTCTAATGACTAGCGTGGTTCTCAGGGTCATCCACAGACCGTGGTGAGTCTCTTAGACTCTTTCAGGGATCTGTGAGGCCCAAACTACATTTGCAATACAATGAAAACATAATTTTCCTTTGCACTGGTAGTAGATAATCAGTAGAGGGGACAACTGTTACCACTTCAGCGCTGATCAGGGCAGGGTGTCAGATGACATCAGCAGCCCCTGTATTCTCTGTGAATTTGCAGATAGAAAGAAAAAAAGCACATTTCGCCATTTCACTTAAGAATTCCCTTATGCTAACTCACCTTTTAAGCCTGTATTTCTTTAATATGAGTGACAAAATAGGATGTGTGCATAACCTGGCTGGCAGTAGAGAAATCATCTGTGTCACTCACCGAACTAGCTGGTTGTTAATTTTTTCGAGAAACACATTTTTTTTTTTCTAAAAAAAGAATAACTGGCAAACTGGTTATTTAGTCAGGGATATTTAGTTTCTTGAAAAATGAACAAAGTGTTCCTGTCACTTCAAGGCAAACCAATGATGGTATTTGCTGCCAGGGGTAAAATTTGAGCTTCTAAGTGTCAATGAAAACTTTAGAAAACTTGTAATTGTCACACTGAGCTTGGCAACTTCCCTTAACTTAGGCTGTTCTGATGTGATTGGTGGTAATATCAACGGACATGACACTAACTTCTATTGTACAATGCAACGTTGTCAACATTTGGAAAATATGCATAACTCAGTGAGCCACTGTTTTCCACATGACCAATGGGTGATGTTACAAGATAATGCATGGGGGAAAGAAAGGCCCATCCAAAAGTCAAGACAGACCACTGGGTCCTGGTATAAGAGAGAGGGTGAAGTTCACTGCTATGGGTGTAGGCTCCATACAAGATTTTCACAAACTGCAACTGGTTGCACTTGGGTATAGCATCAAATAACAATATCCATAATGGTCTGAATGGGCTATTAAAACGCTCTCCCACCTGTCCAACCACACACCTATGGAAAGCTAGATTTTCTGCTTCTACTTTACCCTAAGCAACATATCACAGCAGGATGCAAAGAAGAAAGGAAGAGCCCACTTCTGGATTCATCTAAGAATCCAGACAGTATAGAGAGATCCACAGAAATATAGGACAGCACCACTGTTCTTAATTACATTGTTTTTGCTCTGTTTGTCATAAAAATATGCTTCTTATATAAATATGTAATGGGTATAAAATCCTTTTTAAATGGAATAAAGATGCATATTTAAAAATATCTCAGTGTTAGTAAACACCAATAGATAGAACTCACACAGACACAATTCTTGGAGTCAAGGATGCTTTTGAAAAGAATAAAAAGGTCCCAAGACCCAAAAGTCTCCAAACTTTGGGTGTAATAGGTAGGGCAGAGAATGTTGGCCCTGCAAGCCTATTCCCTAATCCTGACTGGCCTGCTGACCAGCAGAGGGACTGGGAAAGCGATTTTTACTTCCCAGCAAGTTCCCTGCAGGTCTGCTTCAAGGAGGAATTACAAAGACTGGTGAGGCAAAGGAGTGCTCTGCCCAGCCTAGCTCACCTGCAAAGACAGGGTTTAGAGGAGACAGAGAGACAAGGGCCAGTGGAGGCACCGAAGGTCTGACCGTGGAGGAAAAGTCATTCCGCACTGGGATGGCACTGGGCTTGGATGGTACTTCCGGACTTTGTGTGCTAGCAGCAGACCTATAAGCTGCCCGTTAGAGAAAGCACTGGGTAACTGTTATCGTTTAGATCAGGAATGCCCAGCATGAATACCTCATGCTGTCACACGGGGGGCTTGTAGAAGATGACTCAATCCGGGGGCCCTGTACTATCTGTGGAATCACCCACTGGTGAGTTCAGCAGCCGAGTGTGCTGCTAAGCGGTGGGGCCCTGCCAGAACAGGTGGGTCACTGGGGGCGTGCACCGGCAGCGTGTATCTCCCTCTCTGGTTCCTGGCCACCCTGACATGAGCAGCTTTCCACCAGGCCCTTCCTGCCTTGGACTGAACACATGAGCCAAAAAGATGTGGGCGAGGGGTACTGCGTCCCAGAGATGAGAAAGTGACGACGACAGATGTAACTTCCTTTTGCTTTGTCTTAGTGAATGATTCGTGCTGTCAGATGGCTTCTCTGCCTGAGACAGCCAGTGCTGCCTAAGGGAGCTGAAAGCATGGGATGCCCTGGGTCTGAGGGACCTGAGCTGGGGGCTGTGCCTGTGTGCAGCTCTGCCAGCTTCCCCTTCCTTGGATGTACATTTCCCCGCTTGTCCCTCTCCAGGCCTCCTCCCCACAGCCCGCGTGCTCTTGGGAGATGGCTCAGCAACAGAAGTTCGTGGCCTTCTTCGGGAAGCTTTGGGAGCCTTGCCTGGCCGAGGAAAGCGCTGCCGCTTCTGAAGCTGACTCTCACATCTCTCAAGGCTTGGAGGGCTGTGTTCCTAGGTCATGTTGCAGCTCCCCGTGCCATGGTAACACTCAGCCCAAGGAAACGGTGCGAAGTTCTCAACAGCACATTGTATTTGCCCATTTGGATCTTCAAAGGCAAAGCCATGGCGGACATGACTTTGTGGTGACCATCAGGCCTCCGTCCTTCCCTGGGGCTGGCAGGGCCCATCACAGCCTCTCTGAGCACCAGGAAATGCCAGGAGCTACCACCACATTCCAGGATCTCTCTGCTTTTCTGAAAGCCTGGCATGCTCAGCTCCTACCTCAAGACCTGACAGGGCAGGGGAGGGAAGCCCTGCTGGGAGGGACCTGAGCACATGAGCTAAGCCACCTGGGGAAGGGGTGGGGTGGAGTCAGGGAGAGAGTATGGAAACACATGTTAGAGGGCTGGGGATTTAGCTCAGTTGTTCCACTGCCTGCCTCGCAAGAGCAAGGTCCCAAGTTTTATCCCTGGTACCACCCCCCCCAGGCAAGGGGGAGACGTGTGATATGTGAGTGTCAGTGGTGAGACACTCAGGGCTTCCATGCGCTCCTGCTCCCTCTGAGCCAGAACCATTTCCCCAGGGAAGCTCCTCTCAGCTTCACACTGAAGCAAACTCTCCCTTTAGGATGTTGACCTTATATTTCTTTCTTTTGTTGTAGCACTTTTCATTGTTTTGGACACAAGGTCTCATTCTATATCTCAGGCGTGCCTTGAACTCCTTGTACAGCCCAGGCTGGTCTGAAAGGCATGTTAATCCTCCTGCCTCAGCCTCCCAAGAGCTAGGATTATAGGAATGTGCGACCACACCTGGCTCTTTTGTAGCACTTTTCTTGGCTGTCACACCACATGTGCTTCTAAGTTGCTGAAACCAATGTCTACCTTCCCCACTCAACCATGAGGTCTAGGGGTGCTGGGGCCACACTGCGTTTACTCATTGTGTCCTTCTAGCGTTAGCAGAGGACCTGACACGCAAGGCACCTAATCCATTCATGCTGAGTGAATGAAAGAAGGCACGAATGAGTGCAAGTGTGTGCCGCTCATCTGGCCGCAGCTGTACCCCAGGGACTGTGTGCCCTGACTGCAAGACTGGGCCTTGCCCACCTGTGGGGGCCTTCTAGGGGGCACAAGAAAGTTAGCTCCACACTACTGAGACCCCTTCCGGAAAAGAATGGCAGCTTTTCACTGAGCCAGGAGCCTATGTGGTAGGAAGGTCTGAGGAACAACAACTGTCAGGAGCATGGGATTAGGAAGTTCCTGCTCTGAGAACAATGAGGACTTGGCTCTAAGATCTTATCGCTCGTGCTCAGTAAGACCGTCTGAAGGTTGAGATACAAACACAATAGTGAAAAGTGCATAGCTAGCCACGGCGTGCCTGGGTGACGTGCTTACGCTTAACCTGCAAACAGATAAGCAGCCAAGGATTCCAGGGAGGCAGGGTGCAGAGTGGAGGCCCGGGGGAGTACACAGGACATGAGAAAGTGATCCTCCATTGGACTTCTTTAGGGAGAGCAAGCTCAGAAAATCTTTCCTGACAGGATGAGGTTTGGGGCGAACTGGGCTTCCTGTTCCCTGTCAGAGTTCATGCCTGTATTTTAGGGAAGCCCTTCTCACACCCATCTAAGGAGGGCTTCCCAGCAGCAGTCTTGCTTGGGCCCCTGTGGGTACAGTGCAGGGATGCTGGGGTGACGAGCCCTCAGGGGACTTACAGCTCAGTCGCATCCTTGGGCATGCCTTTCGGGAGGGCACGGAGGCCCTTGTTGCTGCACCGCACCACTGTGTCCACACAAGTGCACTGCTCCGGACAGCGCGGGCTCAGCTGGCAGCTGCTCTCATCGTTGCCTGTGGAGAACCCCAAGAAGGTGAGTGCGGTGCGGGGGGAGCCCCAGCAGGGGGAGCAGGTGAGCAAGGCCGGGGTGATGCGGCCAAGGGGTTCCCAGCAAGGGCAGGCTCTCTCTTGGGCCCTGACTGAGCCAGAGCCAGGATCAAGGTGGCTGCGGGTCTCATCCATGGTTGGCTCGTGGGAAGGGCTGAATGCCTCTCACTGCATCTGTCATAAAATGAAGGCTATCAAGGCGCCTGGGATTTGATTAACTACAGTAACCAGATCAGAAATAAACTAGAGACTGAAGTAGTTAGGGGTGGAGGGCAGAGGCCTGTCTTTTTCTTCCTCTTTGTCCTTCCCTGTCACTGCACTGTCCCTCTTAGGTGGTTTGCCCCGGGCCCCCATTATACATCAACCTCAGCTAATCTGCACACTAGTTCCTCTGTCCTCAGATGACCTCCAGTTGAACAAGGTGGATTCATTCCCACATAAGTGCTTCTGGGATGCTGAGACCCAAAGCCTCAGATCTTCTTGTGTTCATACCCCCTAGCCAGTGACAGGGTTTCTCCTGAAGTCTGTTCCTCACACTCTAAGCTTTAGTGTGCCAAGGACAGGCAGGCGGAGGTCTAGGGCTCCCACGCAGAGTTGTGTAGTGACAGACAGCACAGGGCAGTCGTATTTTCTAAGGGACTCCAGGCTCACGGTGGATGTGGTGCTGCAATTTATTTGCACAACAGTGTTTTCACAGATGGCAATGTCTTCGTGTAATAAAGCATCATAATGCCATCCGCGCCTTACGGCAGGTTTCTGACTGGTGGAAAGGGGCACTTTCCTTAATTCACGTGAAGGAGCCAGGCCTCCCACAGCGTGGGGCCTCCTCGCCTTCCCACACACCGCCGGCCCCGCCCTCCCAGCGCTCACTGTCGCAGGTGAAGTCCTGGCTGGCCACATCCTGGATGGGGATCTCCTTCAGGAAGAAGGGCTTCTGGCACCGCGGGTTCCCGCTGACGATGCGCCTCCTGCGCAGCCACTTGCCCAGCCAGGCCAGGTGGCAGTTGCAGTTGAAGGGGTTGGACAGCAGGTTTCTGGGGAGGGAGAGGCCTCGATGAGTGGGCAGCCTCTCCCTGTACCAGGCCCCGGCTCAGCTCCTGCCAGGGCCAGTGCTCCATGGAGTGCAGAGCAGGTGTGGAAAGGGCTGCAAATCGGCTCCTAAACTGCGGCGTGGTCTCTGCAGGTGTCTTACTGCAGGCCTCCACTGGTGGACGTGGCTGCGGTCACGCTGAGTGCCAGATGTGGTGACTGCGTGCTGGCAAAATAGGACTCTCCAAAGCCCGCCAGCTGCAGCCCTGGGGCCCAACACCTCAGCCCGGCAGCCTTCCTTAGCTGTGGTCCAAAGCGCAGCAGTCTGCCCTGCCCCATCCCCCTCCGTGTCCCGCATGGCGGCGTCACAGTGAGGAGGGACTGGTTGCTGCACCGGCTTCGTGCACACCTTGAGCTTTGGCCCACAGCCCTGAGGGTGGGGCCCGGGGCTGTTTGCTCGCGTCCAGAACCTCACAGGCACTCTGCCTGTGGAGTGACGAGGGCAGACCCATGGGCGGTGAGGGGATGGTAGCAGCTGTCCCGTGAGGGTCTGCTGCAGGGCAGGGACCAGGCCAAGCCCTTCAGGAATCGTCACCACACTCACACTCCTCACAACCACCCAGGGAGGAAGGCACACAATCCCTGCTCCACAACCTCAGAATGGGAAGATCAGGGAGCCTGTCGAAAGCCAGGGAGCCCGCAGGTGGGGCTGCCCTGCGACAACGACTCAAGAGTTTGGGGGCCAGCTTTCCCCGCATGAGTCCGGCCCTGATGCTCGGCGCTGTGGGGCGCTGCTCAGGTTCCTCGCCTGTCACAGCTGGGTCCCGCGTGCTCTGGGCCTCTGCCCGTCTGGCATCTGACATAGCTTTTGGGGGTGGAGGTGCTGAAAATGGACTAAACTGAATCAAGCACCGGTGCTAGTCCCCAACCCCTGGTCTCCTCCCGATGGGGCCACTCATTCCCCACACTCATTTGCTTGCCCAGCGTTACAGACTGGGCATCAGCTGGGGCTCTCAGTGAGGGCAGCTGTGGTTGAAGGGCTGGGCAGTGGGCTAAGCAGTGAGCGAGGCAGCTGCATCTCGCCGTCCTCCTGGAACTTGCACGAAGGGTGGCAGGTAGCATGTGATCCGCGGCAGTGAGTTCGTTAGAGTTTATCCTAGAAAACGGTCAGTGCTCCATAAACACGAGGGGCCCTGGGCCAGAGGGACTGGGAGTGACGGCCGCGGGTGGGGTGGGGTGAGCGAGGGGCCCTGAGCACAGGTGGCGGGGAGGGCGGGCCAGGAGGGAGGCGCTCTCAGCGGCTGAGGGTGGTGGAAGGGTGGGGTGTTGAGAAGCTGGGCGGGAGGGAGAAAGGGGCCGAGAGGTCACAAGGGCCTGGAGCGTGAGGGATGGAGGTCATGCCACACCCAGCTCCTGTTCAAGTGAGATGGGCGAGCGGGAAACACGGGGAGGCAGCAGCTGGCCTTTCTGTCTCCCACAGAGCTTTGGGGAATGATGGGGCAATGAGCAGCAGCTAAGCAGAACAGCCCCATGGAAACAGGAGCGACTGCAAAACCACCGCGAGTGGATGAGCTGTGCATGCTGCACGCCTCTCTGGGTGCGCTACAGATTTGAGCAGATTCAGCCCTTACAGAGATCTCAGGATGTGGGTTCTGCAGAAGGGAGAACTGAAGGCTAAAGAAACGAAGCAGCTCTTCTAGGGTCACACAACGAAGGAGAGGAGAAGCCAGAGTTTGTACTCAGAAGTTTGGCTCTAGAGTCAACACAGTGAACTGCCCGGGAAGCAGTACAGGTTTAAGCGTTCAGGAAGCTGGATTCTAACTCGGATTGTGATGAGCACGGAAGCTGTCAGTGATATCTTTGTACAACCCCTTGCTGATCGTGTTGCAGATCTACTTCAAAGTATTAGTATTAGTGATATTCTTTGGTAGACAGCAAAACGGCCCACAACAGCCTTGCAGTATAGCCATGGCATCCTCTCCAAAAGTTGCCTTTTGTTACACAGCCATACTGGACTCTGCTCAGCCCCATATATTTACTTTGCTCTAATAAACCACAAGGCCTTTGTATATGCTCTTTCTACAGAAAGAAATGCATTTCCCACTGTCTTCAGCAAGCTAACTCCCAGAATACAGTTTCTCAAATAAGGTTTTGTTGGGTGTTTATATCACTGAGGACTTCTCTTCTGTGGCAATTTATCACTGTGTGACTCCAGGGAGAAAGAGCCAGGCCTGTCCATTCACTGCACCTACATGCCAAGAGCACAGGAACCTAACACATGTTCACTAAGTAGACAGCTGGGTAGACGACCTGGTCAAAGATAGCTGGGGGCCTGAGCGGCGGAGAGACCTGTGGAGGGGCAGCCCCGAGGGGTGGGCCCTGGAGCACTTACATGGTGGACAGGGAGACCAGCGTGGTGAAGGCTCCCGGGGTGATGGTGGTGATCCGGTTGTCATAGAGGGAAAGCAGCCGCACGGAGCTCAGGCCGGCGAAGGTGTCATTGTTCACGCAGCTGAGCACGTTACTCCTCAGCATCCTGCAGGGAGCGGTGGGCGTGAGGAAGCGGAAGGGTCCGCCTTCCTTCCTGGATGGGTACTCGTGTAATGGGCTCTGTCCTGTGATGAGCAAGGACTAGATCCCCAGCGGAGGAGCGTGGGCGCGCCTCAGTGCGTGCACCTGCACATGCTTGCCTGTGCGTGCTGTACTCACTGTGGAAGCACAAGTCATGTGTATGTGCACACACACACACACACACACACACACACATGTGTCTTGTGGCTGTCAGTGTGGCGCATTTCTAAAAGGACAAGGGAGGACCGAGAAGTGGCCGTGGATGGGGACTGTGTGTGTGTGTGAGGGATCTGTGTATACGTGCCTGCCGCAGTGTGTTTCTGTGCAAGGGCTGTGTCTTTGTCTTTCTCAGGAACATGTGGGTGGGTGGATGTGCCTGTGTGCCTCCTCCTGGTGGCAACACATATGAGCGGCCCTGAGTGGGGTGTGCGCTGGTGGGGTGCTGGGCTTGCTAAGTGCTTCCCATCAAAGGTGGGAAGGGCCTGTCGACCCTGGCTGGAGGAAAGAAGGGATCCTGCAGGTCAGGACAGTACCCTGGTCTGGTCCAGTTCTCCTGCCCTCCCGCCTCCTTGGGGCCCTGGCACTCACAGGGTCTTGAGGCCACTGAGGCCTCGGAACACGCGCCCCTGCACACTCTCCAGCTGGTTCCCCGTCAGCATCAGCTCCTGCACTCCGGCCGCTCCCTCGAAGGCCCCCTCTCGCACCTCCTTGATCTTATTGTTGCTCAGGTTTCTAGAAGGAGGGACAGAGGTGAGGGTCAGCGTGAAGAGGCATCGCAGCTAGGGACCCTCAGGGGCTTGGACGGAGCCCTAGAAGGTGGGGAGCATTCAGTCCTGCATACGCGTCCCTGCGAAAGGGACGGCAGCCCCTTGGTGGGGGCACCGTTGTGAAGCAGGCTGCATGGGAGCTAAAGCGGGTTGTTAGTGTTAAGTACCTTTTCCACCTCCTGGAGGACTGGCAGGTTCAATACAGTGAATCTCAAACTTATTTTCTCTTTTTATCAGATAGTTTCACTGAGCAGTTATTTATTTAAATTTTTCTCGTTTTATTTCGAGACAGGCCCTCACTTCGTAGTTCAGACCGGCCTTGAATACACGGCAATCCTTTTGCCTCAGCCTCCTGAGTGCTAGAGTTGCAGGCATGTGCCACCAAGCCTGGCTTACTTATTAATATCTGCTTATTTTGCAGTACTAGGCACCGTCTTACTGAGGTATATCCTTTTTCAAAAAGTTTTATATTGGGACAAGTTCTCACTAAGTTGTTAAGTTGCTCAAGCTAAGATAGAACTTATGACCCTCCCACCTCAGCCTTCCAAAGTGCTGGGATTGTACCATGTGTCACCATGTCAAGCTTAGGCAGTGAGCCTTGAGAAGAAGAGAAAAAATACAGAATGTGTCCCCTTCCTGTGGGGGTAGCCAACTGTGGAAAGTCCAGATTCCTCCCCTGATATAAGAGGACATTTTCTACTTAGTACTTTCTCTGTAGTGGACACCGCCTCAGGGATCTAACCTTCATAATCACAGCAAAGCATCAAAACATCCCCCTCATAGAGGTGCTATGAGTGGCCGCTCTATAGATGAGGAACTGAGTTCAGAGACATTAAGTAACTTGCTCCTGGTTACACAGCGAGAGGCCTGGGATGTGAAGTCATTTTACTCCCACATAAAAACCCTTTCACTGAACTGTCCCTTTCATGAAAGAAAATTTCTTTGGTGACATGGGACTCACTCCCTGATGTGACTTGCTGCGAGAATGCAGGGGTGGGGTGGGAGTCTCCCATCAGGCCCTGGGTGCTGCCGATGCTGGTTTGCATACTGAGCTCGCAGAGCAGGCCTTTCCCTGTGAGGCCCACGGCCACTGCAGGCCAGGGCAGAGTCTGGTGCAGCAGGCAGATTCTAGGAAGCATGAGTGCTTCCGTTTCTCAGGTCGTCCCAAGTAGGGAGAGGAGGGAGCTTCCATGGACCACAGAAATGTGCACACCAGGTGGATACGACAGAACTTGACTGTGTTCGCAGAGCCCTGTGGGATTGGTCTCCTGCAAGCCAGAAAATCTGCATCCAAAGGCTCTGCCAGCCCATAGCCAGCTCTGTGAGGCAGCAGATTTCCTCCTTTCCCCCCAGGACTGACTGGGCCCCAGGGAGCAGCAAGGCCAGCACGTGTGGGCACATGTGGCCGGTGTGGAGGAGACAGGCAGTGCTGTAGTTCTCTCAGATCATCTTTTCCTTGCCATGGCCCTGCTCTCCTCCCTGCCTCCTGTCCTGCTAAGAAAACGGGAACCCACAGTCTGGAAAGCCCCATCCCAGAATCAAGAGCCAGGAGACTCCTGAACACCTTCCACTCTCTGAGGTGTCCTGAAACTCAGCTGGTTTCTTATCAATCCCAGTAGCCCTGGTCTGGGACAACCTAAGGAATGAAGGTAATGCATGAGGGAGACTTCAAATTACCCCCAAATTAGACTCAGGAGGAGAAATAAAGTCTCCCCTCCTGGCCATAACTCACCAGAATGCTGAAGGAGAGGGTTTGGTTCTAGGGAGCTGGGCTGCGCAGGAGATTAAAGTAGAAGGGCCAGGCAATGAAGATGAGTTAAAGCAGCTAAGAAGTGGGAGGATTCCAATTTCCTGACATCTGTTTCTTTAAAACGAGCAAAATTAACATCACATTACTGTAAGGTTTGTGAATTGCATTTCCTCAGGCTGAGAGAATGAAAACCAGAAGGAGAGTCAAAAGAGGGAGATAGAATTTTCCAGAAGAGCAGGCTGCTTTGCCTCTCTCCATCTACTGGAGCACTGTTGGCCACTGCAGGCCTGCAGGGCATGAGGCCAGAGGGTGCTATTTGGGGCAAACACGCTGGAAAAACTGTGAGTACGCTAGGATTTGTAGAGCCCTGAGATATTTCTAGAGTGAGGGAGTCTTCCTGAAGAAGCCGCAGATTCCAGAACATCCCAAAATACAAAACCAGGGTCATCAGGAGGCCTCCTTCATCTTATTATTTACAGACCTAACCCTGTCCTCCTCATGGCTTTGATTCTGATAAGGATGGGGTCTTACACTTGAGAGGGCCTGGCCTCAGCTACTCTTATTCCAGCCCCAGTGCCTCTGCCAGCTACTGGTCCTTGTCAGACCCAACCCTCATTTCCCCATTAGACAGGGTGGCAGGTTCGGCTGGCCGCCCCTAAGTGAGTCCTGGCCTCTCTTTGGGTTATGTCACCTCAGTGTTGCAGGATGGCCCTCGACTTTGGCAACAAGGAATGAGCAGAAATCCTTTTGGAGCCCAGTCTCAGAGGGAAACATAGTGGAGAAAGCTGAACAGAGGTTTCCAGAAACTGAGGACACTGGGCCATGATTGAGCACATGCCCTGGCACAGTCAGGATGAGGAGGTCCTGTCCATCTCCGTACAGTCCTGTTCCTCTATTTGAGTTAGGAATTCTCCTTCCAACGAGGGCTGCAAGTTCATGTTTCCCCGGTATCTGGTAGGTGAATTGATGGTGACAGAAGCAGGCCCAGTGAAGGACAAAGGTGACCCGGAAACACATGTGTGATTTAAGGGGGCAGCTACCCCTTGGCTTAAATCAACTGGACCCATTTTGCAACCAGTTCTGCCAGAACATCTGCTATTTCCGAAGAGGCCAGCAATCTAAGCTTTTTAGTTTCTATGAGAACTTCAGGTTTGTAAAAGTGGGCAATTTATTCTTATTAAAAATACAACTGGCGGTCCGGGTGTTTAGCTCAGTGGTTCCACCACCTGCCTCTTAAGTGGAAGGTCCTGAGTTTGATCCCTGGTACTAAAAACAAACAAACAAACAAAAAACAACAGATAACAAATCTAAAAATGTACACATGATTTTGGCTGACATGGAAGTTCACTTGAGAGATGTCTTCATGAGTCTCTGAATGTGACATCAGTTGGTTTCCTTTCTCTCTCCCACCCCCACTCAACCTAGGGCTATGACTGAGCCGTACCCCAGCCATGATATGATTTGTAATGCCGTACTGAATTGCCATAGTAGCGATAGCCCTTTGCAATAAACCCTTGCATCCCTCAGCAATGTGCTATCATCTTGGGACTCTCAAAGAGGAGGGGCTCGGCTTCACTATTCCAAGGGATGGGCAAGGACTCGAGGTGCAGAAAGTGCAGCAGAGCCCAGTCACCTGGCACCATGTTCAAAGCCAGCCTTGGGCTACAGAGCAAGTTCAAGGCCAGCCTGGACTATATAGTCAGAACTTGCCTTAAAAAATAAAACAAACAAAGAAAGAAAGAAAGGAAAAGGAATACCATCAAGTCATCTAAAAATTTAAAATCAGTGGCAGTAGCTGGTGGGTTTTGGGGTTGGGTTTGCCCCACTGGGTCATGTGGTTGGTTGGTATTGATGTATAAACATGGATTTATGCACACACACACACACCACACACACACACTTACTGCCTTTAGATAGGGCATACTTCCCCAGATAACCTGAACTGTCACCCTTCTGGTTTCTGACTCAGCCACTTGAGTTCCAGCCCTGGATAGGTTCCTTAACATTCTGTGTTTCAGGTTCCTCCTTTGTGAATTGAGGAAGTCTCCAAGCTTGTTTCTCTTGGTGAGGGTTAAATGGATTAACATCAGCTCTATCTAGCACAGAATTAAGTATCTATTAAGCATAGGCATTATTACTAAGAACATTATCATAATTATAGCCCAGCACCCAACCTCTCTGCAAGTTTGCTACTCCCCAGGTTCCTCAAAGTGTCTGATGTGCAACCCCTGCTCTGGATGTATAAACAGCTACTCTGGGTCACCCAAGCCAGATGCCCTCTCCGATCTTCATGCACACTCTCTTGCCAGTACCAAGGCCAGAGGCTATCCCTTTCATCCTTATTTCTTTATACTTGCTTTTCCTCTTTTTTTTTTTTTTTACAGTGCTAAATCCAGAGCCTTGCACACACTAGCCACACGCTCTATCACTGAGCTCCATCCCCAGCCTCCGTATTTCCTTCTGATCCTCATCATTCCTTATAAGGAACATGAATATATTTCCATTCTGCAAATGAAGAAACGAAGGCCCACAAAGGGTAAGGACACTCCAAAGGTCACACAGCTGGGGAGGGACAGACTGAACTCAGGGTAGATGCAGTTTTCCTCGCACCTGAGTTTCTGGCTGCTTTTAATTAGTAGAAATATTTGGCAGCTGTGACCTCGATTCTACCACAGCAAATATGGGGACACACTGAGTAACAGCTGTCTGTCTCTGTGGATGCAATGTAGGCCTATATTTTGTCCTCCCTACTCCCTTTGGCTGCATAGTTGCTAGGGCAGGGAGCTGGCTGCCACTCATCATGTGTTGGTGCTGTTGTCTTCCTTGGAGTACAGGAATGGTTTTCTGTGCTCTGGCCCCTTACAAAAGCAGGAAGATGAACGACAGCCACAAAGTGTATGTTTCACCTAAAACGGGAGAGTCCACATTTCTGCACAGAAGCAAAGACTACTAGATGCTGCTCACTTGGCAAATGGACACTTGGTCAGCCTGGTCATTTAGTATCTGCTTCACAGCCATACGTATGGAAGTTTTTATCTTGAGGTTAAGAACAAAGTGTACATTTCTCTGTTTTGAATCGAAAGGACATCTCCTGGCAGGCGATGGGTAATAAGTGTGCTAGGACTCCAAAGCTAGTAGGGTTCTGGACTGCAGTGACAACCACAATTCCTGCTGGCAGCCATATGTGCCCCTGAGCTGTCCCTTCAGTGTGCTTAGCCCCGTCCACAGATCCAGACCCAGTCACTGAGGCTGCAGTGCAGCAGGAGGCCTGAGCAGCCCTGATGAGATCTAGATGCTGCATAGGCCCAAGGTGGTCGTTGTTCTCATTGTCTGCCAAGCACGGATGGACGGGAATGTGGAGCACAGAAAGAAATAGGAGTTACAACCCATCCTCATTATTCATGCTAGGTATGCTCTAATTTGATACCAGGAACACTGAGTTAGTGGATACAAAGCACGGCTCCTAGGAGAAACACAGGGCTGGGTTCCTGTGAGCCTCTGCTCATGGCATTTTAATCAGCCGATCAGTATGCAAGCTTGTTTTGTGAATGTTTCTATTTACAGACCGTATTTAATGTATTATTGATTCATTAATACTGCACTCAGCCAGCATCACTGTAACTCACCCCAGAGTGAGCGAAGTGCCCCTCACACATGCATTTCCTCTATCCAGCCAAGCACAGCCTCCTTAGGCTTCAGACCTCTGGGCAGGATTACCAGCTCTCTGCGTGGGGCCATTTTAACGGGTAGAATTTCCAGGGAAAGGCACAAAACTGCAAAGTAGGTGCCGGTGAAGAAACCATAAAGGGGACACTTGTTTACACCATAAACGTGGAAACAAGAATGCAGAGCATGGCCTCGTCCAATCCCATGTGAGAACATGCGTACCCCAGGTAAGGACGTGTAGGGAGTGATGTCACTTGTTTTGTGACCTGTGCATGTCTAAGAATGACTGTGAAAGCACAAGGGGTCTCGACTTCAGACCTACACAAATTTTAGTGAGTAGGTGAATCTGCAAATACGGAGTCTGTGGATAGTGAGAATTGACTGTATTTCCCTCGTTGCAGAAGCAGACCCAAACTCTGAGCCAGGACATAGGGATCCCAAGGAGTGGTGGTCACAGAGAAGAGTATCCTGGGAATCAGACGGTAAAGGGCCCCTTCCCTGTGCTCACTGGTGCCGCTGCTGGGCTACCTGGAAAGAGGCGGAAAGTAAGCCCCACCTCACACTAGTGCGATGGCAGATGGAGATGAGTCTCAGTGCCAGTTGTGACATCCATCTGCTGTGTCATCCTAGAACCTGGCTGAGTCCAGGTCCCTCATCTGCACAGAGGGGAAGACAAAGCCAGCAGGAGATGGGTGAGTCGAGATTCAGTGAACTGATGCAGTGAGACAAGAAACGTGGCCCCTGACCCAAGTTGAGTACTCTGATAGTGCAGCAGAGTTAAATTACTTGTCATCTTTATGACTTGGCCTCAACTATGAGGCAGTGCAAGGCTTATGACAAAAGGTGGTTCTACAGGGGAGAGGCCATAATAGCATGTATGTTCTCTGCCTAACTCCAGGCTATTGTCAGACCCAGGACACCTAGACTGAAACCCAGGCTGAGAACAGTCAGCACTGTCAGCACAGAAGCCTTTCAGTGCCACGTAAAAGCAGACCTTTAAACTGTCACCCCATCAAAATGGACAAGCAACAGGTCCCTCAGATGCCTGCACTCCAACTGCTGGTTCTTACCTGGCTCCCTCCCAGCACCTCTGGGCTGTACCATGGGAGTGGGGTGGGGCAGGGTAAGCCCAGAGGATGCAGGATGGGGTAAGGGTGGTGTGAAATGTATGCTCCACACGATGCTCGATAATTTACAAGCAGCAAGGTTTCACGTTAATCTGCACCCACACATCCTGCTTCCCAGTCCATTTACAGAAGGGGTCAGGAGGAGGCTGAGAAGCAATGAAGCAGTGGGTGAAGGCACACAAGAGCCCTGGCATTCTACTCGAGTCCGAACACAGACCCTGGCCAGGGAGGCGGCTGCCACATTCCTGAAGCTGACTTACATTTTCCGCAGGTTGGGTAACTTCTTGAAGATGCTGGTGGCCTCCAGAACAGAGATGTCATTGTCATTCAGTCTCCTGCGCAGGAGGCAAGAAGAGGTGGTTGATTAGCTGTGGATGAGACACATGCTATGCCGTCCCCTGCCTGACCTCCCTTCATGGCCTCAGCTGAGTTGTCACCTGAAACTCTGAGTCCACAAAGTCAACAGAACTATGGAAAACTTCAGCATCCGCCCCACTAACAGGAGCGGGTCAGCAAGGAGAAGGGCAGAAAAGAGCTCATCAACTTCTCTCCTTTTCCTCCTTCAGGAAGTTCCCTTTCCTCGGGGGGGGGGGGGGGGTGAAGGGATTTTTTGTCCATACTGTATGGAC